ACTTTGTTAATTAAACGACAGTTGAATAGGTTTAAATTGGTACAATGCTTTGTGTTTTTTGTCCCCTTCAATTACCTGAGAACAACTTGTTTTCTCTGAATGTGGAGCGCCAAGAGACTACACTAGCCCACAATCAGCCGCATTGTGGTGACGACGCCCTGTCCAGCTTGCGACAACCCTCGTGATTAATCTTCAAGCTCTGGGGATTGTTGATGAAACATAAATTGCATACAAAAAAAAATGACGGTCGATTTTACTCTCATTCTATTATTCAAAACCATTCTATTTATTCTAACGTGAAAGATGACATGCCAAGCTTTTTATCGTTTTATTACTTATATTTTTATTACTTATTTTTATAAAGTTATATCGGAAGCAAATTATGTTTATGAACAGGATTGAATAAGTGACACCATGCGGCGACCGTCATGGTCAATGGAGGAAAACAAGGGACTGCTCGTGCGACGACGAACACTGGGCTCACCCGAACAGAGCGCGTCAGGTTCGCTCCAGACGGCGCTCGGAACAACATCCGTTCAAGCTTAGTGAGGGTGACGTATGAGCACACGGAGCTCAGGCTCCTAGGGCTCTCTGGCACTGATGCCGCATGGTGCGTAGCGCGGCAGACCGTAGCCTACAGTAGAGAACACTTTTACAGCAAATACAATAAGCACAGATTGATTCAGAATATCAGTATGAGAAAAAACGACACCCTCTATCCTTAGTCCCTCACATCGTACAAGGAAAAACTTCTGGAGAAAACCCCAAAGTTTAAAGGGGAACACGGGAGAAACCTCAGGGAGAGCAACAGAGGAGAGATCCCTCTCCCAGGACGGACAGACGTGCAATAGATGCCGTGTGTAAATTGAAGAGATAATACATTTTACAGCATAGGTAGTCCAAATGTTAGGAAATGCATGTGTCTGTAATAAGAAGATGAATCTACGAAGATGTCAATTACAATCCTGTGGTAGCCTTCAGGGAGGCAGCATGACGAGACCCAGGCAGGACCGCAGAGACAGGTTTAGCCACGACCCGAAACCCACGACTTAATCCAGAACTCAGGATAGAGGATCCAGGACACAGGACCACAGCAAGAAGATCAGCCTCGACTCCGGATCCCAGCGTAGATATAGACACAAAACAAGAAAACATTTGGCAGGGTTAATCGGAACAAGAGAATACACAGACACAGACAGACAGACGGAAGAACAAGCACTCCCTTAGAATAGGTTAAGGGCAAAGGGTAGCAAGTAAGAGAGTAAGAAACATAGGTGGAGAGGCACACTCAGGGAACAAGGTCCCCACTGGAGCCTTAGTTGGAAATTGATGAGAGATAGGGAGGTACGCTGTGTCTACGAATCGTAACACTCCCCGGCCTGTCTAAGCCACTCTACAAACCGTTTCCCTCTAATAAAACCTTGAGAGGTTAGAGAGGGACAAGGTCTTGGATAAAAGTTATTCTTGATAAGAGAAGCCTAGAAGGCCAGAGAGAAAAAGTGAGTTTTAAGTGTTGATTTAAAAAACCCCAGGGTCTGGGCCGACCTCACATGGATGGACAAAATGTTCCAGAGCCTGGGGCCCGCTGCTGCGAATGCTCGGTACCCTCTGGTTTTGAGCCTGGTCTTAGGCACTATCAGCAGCAGCTGATCAGCCGACCTTAAAGCTCTGCCTGGGGTGTAGCGATGGAGGAGTTCGGCTACATAGGCCGGAGCCAGCCCATTTAGGGCTTTGAAAACAAATAAAAGGAGTTTAAAATCTATTCTGAACCGAACTGGAAGCCAGTGCAATGAGGCCAGAATTGGGGTGATGTGGTCACGCTTTTTATGGCCAGTTAGAAGACGTGCAGCTGCGTTCTGCACTAGCTGCAGGCGTCTAATTGAGGCCTGGTCCATACCCACATACAGAGCGTTGCAGTAGTCCAACCTCGAGGTAACAAAAGGCGTTAATAAACCTTTCTAGGTCTTTAAAAGATGAAAACAACTTGGTCTTAGCCAATAGTTGTTTCATTCTTGCCCCTCATATTACAAGAATGGACGGTTGAAGCACTTTTAGCTGCTTACACTTTATTAAACTTTTACATAGAACATAGCATAACATTTACACCCTGGCTTCATCCGCATGCCTGCTCCGGTGTGTGTTCCCCTCAACCGGGTCCGTGTGGAAACATATAACAACTATTGTAACATCCTTTTTCTTTTTCTTTTTAAGTGTAGGTACAAAATCACTATTCATTTTTTTTTTTTTCCTTAATACAGATTTCAAAATACAATTTTCACTCAGACATTTTTTCTTTTAATCCCAAAGCTTGAGTCACAATCACATCAGTGACCCATATCAGTGTGCATGTCCTGAAGTCTGTGGCGCTAACAAAACTGGTCGCCAGCTCTGGTAGTCACGAGTCTGTTGTGTGTCACACATGACTCCTGGTGTCAGGGGTTGTAACAGTTTCTGGAGTGGCGTGTGAGTGTCACGAGTCAACGTACGGCTGTGTCACACTCGCGGTACGCTGCCCGGTCCGTCTTCAGGTGACGTCGATTCCTCCTATAGAACAACCTCATTCTCCAGCTGACCGGATTAGGACCTGTGGTCAACAGCCCGTCCACCCCCAGTAGCCGTACCTCCAGATCTGTGTGGTCTTGTAAGGGGCATGAA